GCATTTCTGAAGTCGTTTTTACTTTTCTTTAAGCAACCTTCTTTTGATTTTCAATAAGACTTTGCGATATCCCTGGATAAATTCTCGATTTTGCCTTCTTACAAATACTCTAAGGTCCACTTTACTCAGATTTAAAATCAGAATGTTCATTTGCGCCGGAACTTTTTAAATTCAAAGTCCACATCTACTCCTTCAGTTTATACTAAATGAAGCTGTAGTCGTACCAACGGCCATTGCCAGCCGTCTGGTATTGATAGTTGATAACCATCCAGCGCCCCTTACTTTATCAGCAATAACACCACTACCGGCAACGCAAATGCAGTATAATAGAAATGGCAAAGCGGCTACCATACCCATCTACAAAAGCAAATTTTAATTGCTTAAAAAAATTTACGAATAAACTTTTTCATTATTTGTTCAAAGCTAAAAGACAACACCATTAACATTTTTTTTGAGAAAAAGCTTATCATTTTCAGTGGCAAGAAAGCAAACTACTTAAGTTTAGTATCATAAACAAACAAATGATTCACACAATGTGCTTGTTTTTGAAACAGATTTTTGATCATGAAGAATTCTGAATTATAAGGTCGAACAGTGTGCTGTGGCAAAATTTTGAAATTCGAAAAAAAAATATTTGTAAGATTTATACATAAGAGTCAAAATCTATCTCCTTTGTGTCCCATGAGGGGGTGCGATCACCTGGCAAACTGCCCGAGTAGTAACAAACGCCAATAGCAACTACCCGCTGCCAAAGTTGTCGACGTTTTTCCCTTTCGAGGAATGCTTAGATAGCCTTGTCAGTGTGTGCTTGATAACAACACTTGTTGTCGATTGTGTTAATTCTCGAGTACCCCAGCCTTTCAGTGGGATTGAATACGAAATTTTCCAATTTTTTGCGACTTTTGAGTGTGTACTTTTATTCTATAAAAACAGATTTAGTTGATTGATTATACGTCAGCATTTTTAGACAAACGATCACCTTGTCAACCGTGATTAGAAAGTTTTTATAACTGTCCACCCAAAAATCTCCGGCATGAACGGCTATTAATGACTGAGAACAACAAAGAGGCAGGATTTAAACAAGTAATATTTCGTAGTAAGTAATACTTCGAAGGAGCTAAAAAAGTATAGGAAGGCAAAACGGAAGACAGCCATTCGATCCTCAGTGCAGCACAATATGCAACCTCTGTAACCTTATAATATAGGTTCCAAAATTCTCGAAGTGAAATTTTTTTCTAGAGAAAATAACTAACTGATGTAAGCTGCATTCCTCGAACATCATTGAGAAATGTTGGCAAACTACTCATCATAATGTAAGAACCGAAATCGCTGGCCCAATGACCAGCGAAT